AGTCCAAAAAAAAAAAAAAAAAAAAGAAAAAAGGCGTACGCGTATGCTGGTTTTCGGACACGTACGCGTACGCACCGCAGACGCGTACGTGGTGCTACCCCGCCGCCGAGGTACCATTTCAATTTTTTTTTGGCTGGTGCTTCCAGCCATTGTGGTCCGGTACCCCGAAGCCCTAAAGGCGCGGCATGTTAACGGGAAAGCACCGCGGCCGATAGCTGGACCAAGTACTGGTGGTTTAAGTGTACTGACATTTCTGCTGCTGGTCGCTTCTTGTGTCAGACTGCGGGTATTCCAATAGGCAAGTCGTCCACTCCGGCGCTTGCCTGCTTACTTTGTGCGTATAATGAGTCTGTGTTTCTGTCTAGTCTTGGTATTGATAGGAAGTTTTCCCGAGGGTTCCAGCTTGAGAACGATGTATCTGTTTTGATCATTTTTAGAAAAGGGGGACAGATTGATCGGTTAAAGGGGGAGCGACTCATTGAACGGTTTAGCTGTTGTTATGATGACAATCTGGTTCTGGAAAAAAACAGCGAACGGAACAGCTGGGGATATCTCGGCTGCGTGCTCAGCATTTGCTCCGGGGAGGAAGTTGTGATCCGTCATCCCCAATCTGACATCAACGGTAAATTGGTTTTCCAGAATATCCAGGATTTTTATTCTTTTTCTAGCAAGCAACAAAAGTTAGCGGTGATTGTTTTGTTTTCGCGTCGGGCTAAGGTGTACTTTACCTCTGAAGGGTTGGCGTTCCCTCTGTTGTTTGCCTTGAACTGTGAACTGTGGAGAAGGGGGTATTCGGATGACTTTTTGATGGCGCTCTGGTTAACTTTTCAAAGAAGTTTGTGGGACTATGGAGCGAATGGGGTACCGCTACTGACAAATTGGGGCCGCTTGCTAGGAGATAAAAAAAATGGCCTTGAGGTGCCTTCGTGGTAGGAGGCCTTGTCGGTTTCGAGAAAAGGGGTGTTGCGTTTGGTTCTTGCAAATGGATTTGTACGAGGGGGTCTCTGTAGGGTCTGATCTGATGACTTTTCGAGGTCTGTGGGTTACTTTTTCGGAGTCGATATTCTGTTGTGATCTGGTGACGGGCTCCGAGCTGTTGACCTTTCGTGAACACTTTGCTAGTGAGAGTAGGTGGTGTTGGCTCTTCTATGCATTGAGTTGGGTGTTTCTGTGGATTTGATCAGATGACTTACAAATAGGTTGTGTCGTGTTCTTGGTATTGTTTCTGCTGTGGATTTGAACACTGGACATTTGTGAGGAGTTGGTGACTAAGAGCGGGAGGTTATTTTATCTTGGACTTGACGAAGGGCTTTTTTTCTGACGATAGGTGCTGGTCAGGTAGCTAGGCTCGAACGGTGAAACTCGGCGTTCAGACTTCGTCATTTTTTAGGACTAGCTCCTTGCTGACACGTTCTTGTGGGACTTCGGATTTGCGCGGCAATGCGATTTGGACTGTGTAACTTTTTTTTTGGGGTAACTTCGGCGCAGTCACGAAAACGGTTTGTAATTGCACTTCAGGCAATCCCGCGAATACAACACACCCCCACGCGACCCCACCGGACCGGAACCGTAGGTAATATACATTCAGCATTACCGGCCCTTTTGCCTCAAGTGCAATTACAAACTCAAACCCTGACTGCGCCATAGTTTTCTCTTTTTTTTTTTTTTTTTTTTTTTTTTTTTTTAAAACGGGCCCAGTGCCCAAGGCTGATATTATCGAAAGGAAGATTGAGGCCGGGGTCCTCACAGTCTACCTGGAGTGACCGAACCAAACATGCTGAGAACCGGGCTCAGCATCCCTCATCTGATGATGATGATGATGAACTTCTACAGATTCTATGATATCTATGAGATAGTAGTTCCAATGCTGATAGTGATGATGATGATGATGATGATAATGATGATTAGTATGAAAAAGACTGTGCTATCTCAACAATTCTAGCCTGCTTTTTTTCTTCTTCGTGAGAGATGATAAGAATACTACAGTTGCTAAACACCTCCTGAAATCCACAGCAGTTTTCCAAACACTCAAGTATCTAAGGGATTTCCAACAGATCATAACAAAGCTCACCAAAACTGACTTATTCTCTGACAAACTCATCCAGGCCTCGCCCCCCCTAACTGCTAGGTTACAGAGCAACGCGACTCACTCCAGCTCCGACCAGTGTCGTCCTGTGTCAGCAACCCCCAGTTGTCCGTTAGGATGCCCCCTTCATAGCGTCCCCAGATCTCTCTACAAGGCCTCGTGCCCTCAGCAAGTTACAGGGCATCACCCCGGCTCCGGCCTGCGTCGTTCTCGCATTGAACAACCGCGGGTCCTGAATATAACAGTCTGAATTCAGTTCAGCTTCGTACAAACCACCGGCAGACCCTCAGAAGCCTGAGAAATTCTTCAAACTACCAGGCATAACAGAAGAAATCAAGAAACGTTCCAACCACGAAGCTTCCATGAGTCACCGCACAGAGAAACTTCCCCACAAAACCTGTCCCATGCTGCCACCGCCGAGGAAAACCTCCTCAGCCCCAACCTGGAACAGACCCCCTCCTTCCCCCCTTCCGCAAAGGCAGCCAATTCCCTCCTAGAGGATACCTTCGCCCTCCCCTTATCCCTATCTTCCCCCGCCGGGGTTGAAGGCGACCAACTCTCCCACCCCGGCCGCAGACAAGGACGAACCACAAATCTGCCCTGCTCCCGACAGGGCAGCCCCCCACCTTGCAGCGCCCCTGTAGAGTAGGGCTCCCCAATACCACCCCCACCTTGCCCCCAAGAGTCCAAACCGTGACCACAGAAGCCCTATCCCGACTGAAGCACACTCGTCAAATCAATTTCTTAAGACACGAGTGGAAGGATTGGAAATTTCGAAAAATTACGATGGAGAGAAAGGTCAATGAGAGTTTTTTTTTTTCCAGATAGTGATTGAACAACCTCCTGAAGATGATGACGTTGAAGATGATGATGACGACCAAACTCACCTGCTAATGTGAAAGACGAACACAATAGCGATTGAACAGCATCCTGAAGATGATGACGTTGAAGATGATGATGATGACAAACTCACCTGATGATGTGAAAAACGAACACGACCTTGAACCGCCACACCTAATGATGACAAAACGATGATGCTGATAGTAATGATGAAAATGAAGACAGAATGGTACTTCTGATC